CTCTCTCTCTCTGTCTTCTCTTTCTCTCTCCTTCGGTATCAGCTTGAGCAGAGACCTGGTCTCGCCTCGTCGGCTAGCTCGCAGGCGCCAATGACGCGGTGAACGAGGAGGGATGGCGAGGGAGGGCGAGGGATGAGAAAGGAAGGAGGTTGGCTTGGACTGCCCGTGGAGACTATGTTGGACCTGGGTCTCATATTTGCTTCGTTCATGGTAAACTGATGGTGATGATGATTGATTGATTGAGCCAGAGGGGGAGAGACAGAGAGGGATATTAGAGTTTGTCAGGTTGATTGAAGTTGGTTGCCACTGGAGAACAATGATGGATGCGACAGATGATTCAATTGACTCTGCAACACGATCCAGCTCATTTTGCGCGACGCAGGACGGGAATATTTACAGCCAGACATATCGATTATTGTAAGTCTTACCAAGGGCCATCTAGGATGTGACGAAACCAGCATCACAGCCAGTCTCAACGTTACATCAACGGTTTTTGTTTGACAACGTGTCATCAACGTTAGCGTCGCGCCACATTCGGGCACGCTGCGCGAATAGCCCGTGTTTCCAGCGCCTTGGCGCCGCACCCGCAGCGCCCTTGTTGGTGACCATGCGCGGGGGTGTCAATGTCTGTGTCTGTCTGTCTGTCTGCCTGTCAGTCTGTCCGCCCGTCTGTCTGTCCCTGCCTGCCTGCCTGCCTGCCTGCTTGCCTGCCTGTCTGTCTGTCTGTCTGTCTGTCTGTCTGTCTGTCTGCCAGTCCGGTTGCACGGGGGGGGAGCGGAGGAGAGTGTCGGGGAGAGAATCCAGAGATTGAGGCAAGCAGGCCGCGCAGGCAGAATCTGAAGGTGGGGGCAGCCAGAGGCAGGGGGCGGCAGCGACAGGGCGAGGGTGCGAGGGGGGGGGGGCCTTATCTGGAAGGTGCCGGTGCCAGCATGCGAAGGCTCGACAGCCAGGCAAGTTGCTTGTGCTCCAAGGAACGCGCACGCTGCGCCGGTGCCTGCTCGCGGCGGGGACAGCCCACCCTCGATCGCGCGCGCGATTGCCCCGTCCTCCCCGCTTCTCCCCCTCGCCTCCCTGCCCCTCCTCGTTTCCCCGCCCCGCCTCTGTCTACCCCGCCCTCGCCGCTTCGGGCCCCTGCCCACCCCCGCCCCTTGTCGCACCCCGCGGGGGAGGTCCAGCTGAAGCAGTTGCGGCTCTCCCGTCCGATCAAGGCCTTCTCCAGATCGGTCCCCTCCCGAAGTCCATCCTGTTCCGTTTCTCGAGGCGGATGCGGCCGTGGCGACGGAAGGCTTCGGGGGGCCCAGACAGGAGAAGCGCCGGGCAGGGCCGCCGTTTTTCTCGACTGCTCCCCGCCCCCCCTGAGCCGCTGACATCCGCTGATTTGTTTGTTTTCACTCCGCGGCCCCAAAGGTCTCGTTGCGCTCAGCCGCCGGGTTCGCAATCGCGGGGTGTTCCGCGTGCTCGCTCTCTGTTGTGGCTTTTCTGAAGAGTCGCCAATCGGGCGCTCTTCTGCCCGCGCGTCCCGCAGGATGCACGGCTTAGTGGTGGTGGTGGCCCCGGAGGTCACGACCGCTTCCCCGGGGGTCGCCTTCCGTCCCAAATCCGTTTCGGCCGGCCCTGAGGGCCCGACGTCGGGCCCCTGAAGCCAGACTTGAGGAAAGCCTGGGGCCCTGCGGGGGCCTCTTGGAGCCTGGACTTCACGGACCCCCAGAGGCTTCTGGAAACCGTCGTTGACGTCACCGTTGACGTCCACTCCCACCGGCCCCCGAGCCTCCAGAGCGAGGAGGGGTTGCAGGGAAAGTTGAGGTCAGCAGGGAGGGGACCTCGCCCGTATTGAATGAGGCATACTGTCAACCCGCACAGTAAGGATGAACAATTTTCCAAGGCTGCCCTTGCATCCTTCCCCTTCGGCCCATTCTTGGGAGCCTTCGCTGGCCGCGCCCCGCTCGCAAAGTGCCGACATGGCCATCCAGGGCCCTTGCATCCCCATCGTGCGTCCTGACGATGCGGGCTGACTGTAGCGCCGCAAATCTGGAAGGGCTCCCACGAGGGCGCGAAAATATTCTCGCTTCGCGGTCATCGTTCCTTCTCCCCCTCCTCCCCGTTTTCCTTTTCTCCCTTTGGTGGGGCGGCGCGGGAGCGCGAAGCTATCCGCGCTCCGCGCTTCGCGGAGCGCGAAGCGCGAAGTTGGGAGCCCTTGAGTCTGCTTCTGGGCCCGAGGAGGAGGAGGAGGAGGAGGAGGAGGAGGAGGAGGAAGGAGAGGAGGGAGGAGCGGAAGGCGGAGGCGGAGTAGCGGGAGGAGGAGGGCTGAGAGGAGGAGGAGGAGGAGGAGGAGAGGGAAGGAGGAGGAGGAGGAGGAGGAGGGAGTGGAGGAGGAGGATGACGAGGAGGAGGAGGAAGAGGAGCCTCCCCCGCTCCGCGGCGCGTGCCCCGCAGAGGCCATCTTCGAGCCGGCCCCCGACGGCAGCGGCGACCAGCACGAGCACGTCGAGGCGCCTCGCCGCGCCGCCGCTCGCGGGGGGGGGGACGGGGGCGTGCTCCTGGGTCCTGGGCGGCCCCGTCCCCCCGTCCTCCTCCGTCCCGGAGGAGGAGGAGGAGGAGGAGGAGGAGAGGAGGAGGAGGAGGAGGAGGAGGAGGAGGAGCGAGAGGAGGAGGAAGGGGAGGAAAAGGAGGAGGATGAGGAGGAGGAGGACGAGGAGGAGGAGGAAGAGGAGGAGGAGGAGGAGGGGGGAGTCTGGGCCGCGTGGGGCCCTCCCAGGTAGGACTCGGGCGGCGGCCCCCCCCCTGCCAATTACGGGCGCGCCAAAGAGGGGGGGACGACCATGGGGGTGTGGATGTCGTGGCCAGGGCCGTGGTGC